ACAGGAGGCGCAGCGCGCGCGCGCGGGAGGCGGGGCTTCCAACCGCCGCCGCGGCGGCCGCACGAGGCCGTGGTCCCGCCCAAACCGCTGTTCAGTGGCGCCCGGGCGGAGGGCGCTGAGGGTGTGGTGGTTGTGGCCGTACCGACGGCGACAGTGCCTCGGGTTAATTGAGCAGTAGCTGAATGCATTACGTAGGTGGTCTTGGAACACCCAATTGGAGAGGCTTGGCGGCACGGCGCTCCCTCATGTCTCGGAGAAGCTTCCTGGGCCTCGGTTTCCCCATCTGTAAAATGGGGGTGCCTGACCCATAGTAGATGCTCACTGTGCACTGGTTGAATAAACAAATGGGGGCAGTCCTTAGCACGGAGCCTGGCACACATAAATGGTGGTTGCTGCTGCTTCGGACAATAATATTATTATTCAAGAGGCAGTATATGATAAAGCGATTGGGAGCGCTTGCGCTGGGGTGAAATCCAGATCTGGCCACCTACTGGCTGTGTGACTGTACAAGTGAATTCGCCTTTCTGAGCCTAAGGTTTCCTCCACTAGAAAAGGATGATAATAACCATCAAGATGGGATGAAGAATAAGTGAACTACTATTCACTCCCTTAATTGTTAAGTAAGGAAAGTTCCACATGGACAGGGGTTGGCTTTGTTCATCACATGGTCTTCCCCTTGGGAAGAATAATGCCCACACACAGTAGGTGCTCAGTAAAAGGTTGTCCAAGTTCAGCTACTGGTTTATGAGCCTTAATCTCCTAACTTCCAGCCTCTAGCTTCCTTTTTTGTAAAGTGTCTTGGAGAACTCGCCACTTCCTTTCTGTCCCAAGTTTCTGAGGCTCTCTAAATACTTGAAGTCAGCTCACAGGGCTCCTGGTTTGCACAGCTGCACTAATAGTTCCTGATCCTGCCTGGTTCCTCATTTTCCAATATTCCTGTCACGACGTGATAAGAGGTTCCTTTTTCCTTCTTCACATCTTTTCTGGTCTCCTACTATGCACTAAAGTGTGAGAATATAGAAAATGAATAATTAGGTGCTCCCTTTCCAGGAAGACACAGTTGAAGAGGGAATCCCAACAAGCCAATGGATGGTTTTGATAAAAAACAAAGCCCTCTTTGGAAAATATCCAATTGAACTGGTAAAAGCATATAAGACCAATGTGGTAACACTATCAGTTTTAAATGCAGGCCCCTCTGCACCTTTGATCTAGCAATTCCACTTCTAAGGCTCTCCTCTTTTTTTTTTTTGCTGAGGGAGATTGGCCCTGAGCTAACATCTGTGCCTATCTTCCTCTACTTTTTTTTTTTTTTGGTAAGGAAGATCAGCCCTGAGCTAACATCCATGCCAATCCTC